CCCCCCCCCCCCCCCCGGAATGCAAAGCATCTTGAATATAATTGAACATCATTGATATTTTAAAATTGTATGACCTCTCAGAAGTCTGATCATGCACGATAATTTCTGTAGACACTTAGACAAATAGGAGGTATAGGATACTTGACTGTAGTTATATTAGTGATCCTAGAGCATACCACAAAATAGAAGTTGTTTCCATTGATGGGATTCAGGAAGTTTATTAGTACTCTGAAATTATCTGCAGAATTTGGAGTGTATGTTCTGAGAAGGGTTCTATTAATTAATTACTCACAGAGGTCCTAAATAGGACTCCAAAAAGGTTAAGAGTACTTAAATGGTTCTTAAAAATTTTTTTTTCATTATGATTCCATTTCTTTGTTTATTTTTAATTTTAAAGATGTGGGCTACAATTCAGGGTTAAGTATACAAGTGTTTATTATGCAGGTACCCTTGTTAATGAGGTTGTGTCCTCCCCTCCCCAGCAGAATCCCACTACTGCTAATTCCGTTCCCCTCCCCCTCCCCCTGGCAGTTTCCCACTACTGGCAATCCTTTTCTTTTCTTTTTTTTTTTTTTTTTTGAGTTGGCGTCTCACTCGGTCGCCCAGACTGGAGTGCAGTGGCCACTCCCGGCCACCGCAGCCTCGCCTGCTGGGCTCCGGCGATCCTTCTGCCTCAGCCTTCCAAGTAGCCGGAATTACAGGCATGCGCTACCACGCCCAGCTGATTTTTTGATTTATTGTAGAGATGAGTTCTCGCTGCCCAGGCGGGTCTCGAACCCACGGGCTCAGGCAGTCCACTCACCTCAGCCTCCCAAAGGCGCGAGATTACAGACTGAGCCACTGAGCCTGGCTGGCAATCCTTTTCATATAGTATTACGATAGTTGTTCAGGGTTCATTTATGAGTGAGAGCATGTGATACTCAGTTCTTTTTTTCTGTGATAGATCACTCAGTATTATAGATGCTAAGTCCATCTAAGTTGCTGTGAAGATCATAATTTTGTCCTTTAAGTTGGAAACTCAATTTATTGTGGAGACCATGTCTCACCAAGTTACCCCAGGCTGGTCTCAAACCCCTGGGCTCAAGCAGTTCTCTTACCTTCATCCCCCAAAGTGCTGGGAGTGCAAGTGCCAGCCACCACACCCAGCTAAAAAAATTTTTTTTGATAATATTGTTTTTCTATTGTAATGGGTCTCTTTTATAAGTAAAATAGAGATAAAAGCACTAATTACATTAGGACTGTATTAGTGATGCTTGGCTTTTCTGAATGTGACTATTTCATGAGACGGAAACATGCTTAATCACAAAAGAAAATTTTAGAGTTTTAATAACTGTTTTTAAAAAACTTGTAATTCTAATCTGTCAACCTAAATGGCTTTCCCAGGAATATTTAGTGACATTCATTTGCTGGCTATGATGTATAGTGGAGAAATGTGTTACTGGGGATTGAAGCATTGTGCTGATGAACAGCCAGAAGATCATGAAGTGGATACTGGTATTTCTGGAGCAAGCAGCACTGAACACAAAGAACTCTTGGATTTTCGAGAAGTAGGAGAAAAAATTTTGAAAAAGTATGTATCTGTATGTGAAGGACCTCTGAAAGAACAAGAATGGAATACAACAAATGCAAAACAAATTTTAAACTTCTTTCAACATCGTTGTAACTAGTAAATTGATCTGGTTCTTCTAAAAAAAAATTACAAACAAAAAGACCCATGAAATGGAAAAAAAAGTTCCTGAAAGAAGAGATATTGCCACTGAATTTGAGAACATGTGCACTACATAGAGATATTCACCATGGGTACTTGTCTTTAATCTCTATCACCATCTTTCATTATATATTCTTAAACCTATGAAGGAATGGTTCTTTAATTTCTAAAATGCTATTACTCTACAGATATTATAGTAAGTCCACAGGTATCTTGTCACTAGTAATGAGGAGGAACCCAATTTAACTTTACAAGTATATTTATATTTTTATTGTGGTAAAATATATGTAACATAAAATTTACCATTTTAACCATCTGTAGATTATTTTTAATTTCTCTTGAAATTCTCTATGCTTCAGACATTAAAATCAAGTCACTTCATTACTTTGACTGCATACTTTGGATATAAATGTAGGCAAAATGAAAGATTATGACTAATATTCAGATTCTATTTCCAATAAGATAAATCATGAAAGACTATACCACAGAACCATCATGTTTATCCTTTTGCCATGTATTACTAATTGTATTTAAAATTTTTGCTTGTCTTAGGCATTTTATAAAAATTTAAAAATGATTTTTCTATTTCGTTTAAAAAAATGCATGGCTTCTCAAGTGAATAACAAAGATTAAAAAAAACATCAAGGTAATTTTTAGTTAGTCCACCATTAGTTCATATGCTTTTAGGACACAGATTTTTCATAATATATTGAAATTTTAATTTTTTTGACCTTTAATGACAGAGGTGAGTGCTAAAGACCAGAAAACTTGGTATCTTGCTCATGGTCTTTCTGTCTACCTCAACTCCTGTTGTCATCTTGGGATGATCTGGTACCTTGCTGACTTCCTGGACATCTGCCCTTCTGATTCACATTCCAGCATCTTACTCCAGTGGCTGCAACTTGAATGTCACCATCCTGAGTTTCTCTTTCTGAAATCGTAGATATCAGTAACTGATGACAGCTTTCATCTTTCCAGCTTTTCTACTTTTTTGTTTTATTGATTCTCCTACAGTCTTTAGCTTTTTTGCAGCTTCTTTTTCTTCCTTTTCTTGACTGCTCTCCTTACTCCTAAACTATCGCTCCTTTCAGACATTTTTTTTTTTTTTTTTTGCTTCCCTGTGCCCCCCTCAGCTTAATGGGACACTGTCTGAATTACTCTTACTAGTGTTTCCTTTTTCCTCTTATCCTTCAGCCTAGACATTCTGCATGCCCTCAACATTGAATCAGTGCTCTTTATTATCTACATTTTCTAGGAGTTTGTGTGGAGGATATGCAGTCCTTCACAGTAGAATCACTGCAAGTGTCTTGCTTTGGCTTTAGCAAGCTTTTTGTTTGTTTCTAGAGTGGCCTCTCTCCCTTTTCCCACTGTGGCAGAGCCAAACTTCATCACTTTCCTTAGGCCCTTTCCCTCTAGTATATGGCCCTTCCTCCTATTGTACAGAAAATTGAGACTATGACGAGGTCAACTTATATTTACCAACTTTACTTATTTCCTCTATTTTAGAGGAAAAGAGGTTGCCTGCTTCCTATTGAAGGCTAATCTATTCTACAAATTTCATCTCTGCTATCTCCCTCATTTCCTTTGTGGCTACTCATTTTGTGCCCACCCTTTAGTTATTGATCTTTGCACTAGAGTTTTGTCCTGCTCCTTTTCCCTTTCTTGTTCTTTTTTTTTCTTTCTTAATACTCTTCTAATGTGATGTCACTCATTACAATGGCTTCTTTTGCCACCAGTAATATCAGACTGATTTTGAAACCTTTAATTTGAATCCTAGCTTCTCTCTTGCTCTCTAAACTTTATTTCTAACTGCTTATTAAATGTCTTCCTTAGACATCCCATAGTCATCTTAAATTCAAAATGTTCAAACAACAAATCCTTATCTTTCATATAGAATCCTTTATGTTTTCCCACTTTTGAATCTTCCACAGAGCAGGGCAGTACAGAATGCCTACCTTCTCAGCCTTGTCTCTGCAGTCATTCTGTGTAATCATGTTCTAGTCTGGTGTTTCTTAAACATTTAAAACCTAGGAGTTCCTTTTTGGTAAACACAAAAATTCTGAGAGCCTTTGCGGCAAGGGCAATCTTTCCCCATCTCTTGCCCTTCCTTGCTTATCCTTACACAACTAAGACGATTTTTATTTAACTTAGCATTTTAGCAGGTGTTATTATAGAAAATACCTTTGTGCTTTCTAAGTATAAAGAATTAAGTCATTTTCATATGCTTTTTAGAATTACAGACTCCTTCCTCTTTTTAGGACATCATGATAAATTATTTACAAGCACTTTCAGCTCCTTCCCCATATGTGCTTCGTGTTTTTTCAACCTCAGTAGCCTTGCAGGTATCATTACTTTGGTGCCATTCTTTGTGGCCAGCTGAATACTTACCTATCTTTGGACTCAGCTTCAATGGTACTGTGTTCATATACTTTTTTTCAGCCCTTTTTCAGTGAAAGTTAGATGCTCTTTTCTTTTGTTCCCTTAATCTTCCCCTCCATGCTATACACTGATCACATTGCTTTACATTATTTTCCTTACAAGTTGATGAACTCCATATTTTGAAAATTTACCCATACACTTAGTGCTTAATGCATGGTGAACCCTTAGTAATGTTTTTGAATTAATGAGGCATAATTCTAAGTGCCAGACTTTGCACAAAAAAGTTGCTGTTACTGGATTCTAAACTGCCATGCCCTCTACACCAGTAGTTGACCAGGCAAGTACAGTCCTCATAGGAAGAAAATATTGTTTAGATTCTGAACCTGAGAAAATGAGAGAACTTTCTCTTCAGAAGCTGGGAACTTTCATTTTTGTCTTCATGACCCTTGTGGACCACTTGTGTCTCACTGGTTGGTACAGTTATGAGGGTATTACTGGGTGCTTTTTGTATAACTTTCCATCTCCCACACAGTTGGAAAATAATTTGTAGACCATAACAATTATAATATACCTTTACTCTGGTGTATCATAAAACAACACGTTTTTGTATGTGTTAAAGCCTGCTAGGTAAATTGTTTCATTTAGAATGAAGTAACCTCAAGATGCCAGATACTCCACATAAGGACTACATTTCATTCACTCATTGATTATGTGCCTGCTACTTGCCAGATTTTGTCCTGAGGATATAGCTGTGTAAAACCCTTCTGTTTCAGAGCTTGTATTCTATTAGTGGAAGTTAGGTAAAGCATTTTAAGAAATAAATATATAGTGTATCAAGAGATGACTACTATGAAGAAGAATAAAGCAGGGTAAGGGGATAGTGTGATGTGGGAAGTTGTGGGATGCTATCTTATTTAGAATGGTTGGGAAGGCATCTACCGACTGCTTTAGCATTTGTGTCTTCAACTCCACTCCTTGGTTAAATGTCTTGTATGTTTAATACGCTCATAAAATTTCTCTTATGAAAGTTCTGATACTGATTTAAGGATTGAGTCACTCTTAAAACTTTCTCATTCTGGTTATACTTAAAGAGTTTCTTTCTGGTGTGGGCTTTGCTAATATGGGTAAGTGATACTTAAAGGCCTTGTTGCATTTTTTACATTTGGGGTTACTCTTCAGTTTGAATTCTCTGATAGTTAGTAAAACTTAAACTCTATTAAAGGACTTTTCATAGTCCTTACATTTGTATAGTACAGTCCCATTATGAATTTTCTGGTGTCAACTAGGCTTTGAGACTTAAAGGCTTGTCTGTTTTACTGCATTTATAGGGTTTCTGGCTATTGTGAATTATTTGATGCTGATTAAGGTACAAATTATGACTAAAGACTTTTCCTTATTCCTTTGTTTATAGTAGAGTAACACAGTGTCATGGCTACAACCCCACCATACAATTAGATTCTTCCTCTACAATCTCACTGTAAGTTCTCAGATGTTTATTAAATTGTGAGCTGTGTCTAAAGACATTCCTAGGTTCACTGTAATGGCATTAAAACAAACAAACAAAACCCATAGCTGGTTAACATGCTGATTTTAGATTGCTTGTCTCTTCTCTTTCCATGTTCAAGGGCTCCTTTTCTGACTCCAATAAGAATACCCCATCTGCCACAGAATCTTTAATGATTCTGTAATTCTCTAGTATTACTTTTCTGTATTCTAACAGTATGAGATGATATCATATGGAAGTGTTACATTAAAATACGTTTAATATATCCATAATTAAAGTATGCATTACATATTCATGCTGGTGTTTTTTCATGTTTTTTGTTATGTTTTTCTTGTGAAAATTTCAAAATGAAATGTTTTGGAGCATATACTTTTTATTTTTAACAAAATAAAACCATACTCCCCTACTTGTTTCTTGTTTTCTATTACATTTGGTTGTTGAATCAAAATGAAAGAATCACCTCAGTTTACTAGGCTAACTTCTGGATGTTATTTCTTCTGGTCTTAATAACTTTTCAAAGACAGGGTAGTATAGTGGTTAGTACTGTGGACTCTGGAGCCAGAAGGCCTGAGTTTAAATAAAGCCCTGCTGTTTCTGTAATTGAAATTTAGATCCTCAGATATTTACTTTTTGATTTTAAGTTCACACCAATAAACATTAAATATCCATTCCTGAGCCTTAAGCACTCTTGTGTGCTGATATATATATAATGTTACATTTATGTACTTATTTATATACACATAATTTATTTACATGTTACTATAGCCTGCCGTGGTCCTTAAAGACTTCAACAGTTTTATTAAGATATTGACCATACTTTCTTTTTTGAAGAGTATAAAGGCAAAATACTGATTTTTTAAAAAAACATGATTTTGGTGAGTTGTGAGAAAATGGGTAATTGAGATAATAAAACAATGGTGGACAGAGAGGGTCATAGTGAAATTCCATGTTTGAATATTTTCACAGAGAATGGATAGTTGCATGTTCTGGACATTGTAAGCAATTACTAGTTGAAAATGATTTTAATACAAATTATGTGGAGGTCTATTATGCCCTTTTTCAAGGATGGATTATTTTGATTGGAGTA